AGGCCCAATGCCCATCTGGTACCTTAATACTAAACTTATAAATATATGCACATAGATCTATTTCCCCATCCTCACTTATAAATATATTTACATATGTACATGCTGTATTTAGACCTCTATAAATGCCCTGTGCCTCCTAGTTCTTTCCTCTATTTCCTTTTACTTTCCTCTTGTCCTATTCTCATGCTCAGCCTTCATTTGGGTTTCAGTAATTCCTCTCAGTTACATTGTCCTTGATCAAGCCCTACCAGGCCTCCTACACCCTCCTCGCCACTGATTTTGGATCACTTGTTGTTCCCTTGTCCCTGGGTTTGTTACTAGCACTTCCTTTCCCTCACCTCCCCCTCTCCCATGTCCCCCTGGAATCGTTGGATTTTGAATAAAAATTATCGCTAGGTAAGAACAACAAGATTCTCTTTTAACATGCTTCTAAGTTCCGTTGGCATTTATAGTGCAGTGATGGTTCTGGACTGTGGCATTTCCCGTCTCTCTGACTTAGAAAGCATTTCCTGGCTACCTTGCTCCTTGTTTACTTGAAACTTCTCTTTACTTTGGGGGGAAGAGGTCAGGTTGAGAAAATAGGCGATAAGGAGCCAGAATGGTGGGGGAGGCTGTGGACTTGTGTGTGCCGTAGACTCAGGAGTCTTCGATAAACTAACATGTTCATTGTCTAAGCATCAAGTGGGAGGAGGAAGGAGGTAAAATCCTTCACTGTTCCTCCAGTGGTCAGTCCTGTGGCTTTTTAAAGCTCAATTCCTCATTTGAAGTGTAGGTCGATTTGAATTTAATTTTCTCTAGAATGGTCGCTTATCAATAGTTAAACCAGTATGAAGAGGGTGGCTCCAATCATATTGGAACTTTCCCCAGAAATATCATATGCTTTCCATATTGGAAGATTGAGAAATCATTGGTCAGCCTCTGATTGAATAGAGTCTAATCCAGTCTTCTACTGCCCTGGCGGGAAAACCAAAAGCCAACGGCCACTGAGTCGATGCTGACCCTAAGGGACAGCATAGAACTGCCTGCATGGGTTTCTGAGACTGTAGTTCTTTCCGGGAGTAGAATGCCTCCTCTTTCTCCTGAGGAGTGGCTGGTGGTTTTAAACTGCTGACCTTGTGGTTCACAGCCCAAGGTGTGTGAGAAGCCTATACATTTTCCAGCTCCGAGTGTCGGTAACTGTTGGCTCTTCCAGCATAACTTTAAGAAATTGAGTGAGGGCCTTCTCACAGGCAGAGAGCTCAGAGTTTTGTATCTTTCCATCGAATTCAAACTCGCCGTCTTCCTTCTTCCGTTGTGTTTGTATGTTGAGGCTTAAGCTGTTGCGAGGGTGTTGATCCAATGTCTTACACGGACGTTAGCTCACGTGCCCAGAAATTGAGAGGAAAAGAATCCAGTCCTGCAATTATATCTCCGGAAGAATAGATGAGAATGCGGGAAGGGGGGGGCGGGGAGGGAGGGGAAAAATGAGGACCTAATGTCGGGGGTTTATATGGAGAGAAAATGTTTTGAGAAACGATGTACAAATGCGCTTTACACA